TAGCACAAGGAATTTTTTTTTTTTTTTTTTTTGTGGACAAACTTTGTAGTGAAGGAATTTGAAATCAGCTTTCAAATTGGAATTTTCCCAGACCCTAATCCTAGCCGTGATGAAATATTTAATGTGAAGCAAGTCTTTTTAGATGATTACCCTTGTGAAGCCAGAATAATGATTTTCAAGACATGTTTTGTTTTCTCCTAAGAAGGTGTTATTGTGTTACTCTTGGTGATGCTCTTCCTAACCGTTCAAGACAGAGATGGCGCTCATGATGCAGTAGACTCTTGGGCTGCATTCTGCCCTTCCTAGAGAAACCCGTCAACAAGTTCTTATTGAATGCTCACAGAGGCCATGGCTCAATTACTAGGCATGCACATTTGCATTTGTTGTTGACAACTGTCAGCTTGGACCTCCTTCTCCTCACAACCCCTGTCTAAATGGGGTTTGAAATCCCTCTTCTCACCCGCTCTCTTCACTCCCTGGGGCAGGAATGTTGACTCCTGTTCCCCGTCACCTGTCAGAATCCATCCTCCTGTCACTGGCTTATATGGACAAGTCAGTCACCGTCACGTGACCCCTGGCTGCTAAAAACAGCTCAGGCACCCACTCTGAACCAGGGCCTGAAACAATGTCCACCGCTGAAAGAGACGCAAAGGACACTTGATCACACAATCCTTGGAATTATTTCAAGGAAACCCTTGCAGAAGCCCGTTCGGAGTACCCTTTCCCCGCAGTGCACACCAACGGCGAGGAGATGAGCACTTCTCTGAATTACAAGTCTTTTTCCAAAGAGCAGCAGACCATGGATAACTTGGAGAAGCAGCTCATCTGTCCTATCTGCTTAGAGATGTTCACGAAGCCCGTGGTCATTCTCCCCTGTCAACATAACCTGTGCAGGAAATGTGCCAGTGATATTTTCCAGGTAGGTTTGTTTGGAATTTGGGGAGTGGGAGAGACTCCCTCCTCTCTGAATCAAGTGCTTAACATCGAGATGAATTCCTTTAGAAAGCTTTAAACGGTTGCATTCATTTTCAAGAAAAGCTAATTTGTTTAAAATGATTTGCGTTGTGCTTTGCCATCAGCCTCCTCCATGCTCCGGAATCTAGTTTTAGTTCCATATTCATTTTAAAAAACCAAACCCACTGAGTCTGGTTCAAAATTGTAAATGAATTACTGCCGAAGACATTGATGTTGGGATTTCTGGCTGGTATGTTTGGTTATGAAAACCTTGGATGGAAAAGCATTTTGGGTGAAAAATGTTACATTGCAGTTTACTGTGAATAAATGTTGGCCTTGTGTTTTAGGACCACTTGCTGATAAGGCCCTGAGGGATTATTTCATGGCTGAGCTTAAAGTAGAAGTTGATGTTGTTTGTAGTTAACAGTGAGTGAGAAAAAGTCTCAGAAAAGCTACCTGGTGACTCAGCTCCTCTTTCCTTGTTTGGCAAGAACAGGCCTCTAACCCCTATCTGCCCACAAGAGGAGGTACCACTGTGGCATCAGGGGGCCGATTCCGTTGTCCATCCTGCAGACATGAAGTGGTTTTGGACAGACATGGAGTGTATGGACTTCAGAGGAACCTGCTGGTGGAAAATATCATTGACATCTACAAGCAGGAATCCACCAGGTAACACTCTGATATGTCAAACCCATTTGAAACTTGTTTTTGCCTATTTGCTTGTTTGTTTTTAATGGGTTGCTACACTGAGTGTTTGTTTACCAATCACAGACTAATTGTTCTATAGGAAAATGTTTTTCCCAGTGAGTCCTTCCCAAGGGAAGCGAGAGTAGCTCATGGGAGGGGAGAAGGGAGCTGGTGTCAGAGCTTCTGTATCAGCTTGAGAATGAAGTGACTCATTAACACTGATTCATTCTAGATGTGATATTAAAAAGGGCATAATGTTGCCCCCTAAATTTAAAGCCTTGGATTACATACATTTTGTACACTTGTACTTCACAGGTACTTAATAGCTCCAGATACTAAATAGCAGAAAATTCTAGTACAAAACTTTATAGAAAATGAAATAGCACTGGCAGCTTCCCAGTTAGTCCAGTTCCTATTTCAGACAGTCTTACCTTAAAATTGGCTGGATGATAACAATAAAAACAAAATCCTCTAACCTCGTTAATCATCGTATTGACTCCATGAGAAGATGCAAAGCAAGAAGTAGTCCTAAATAGTCAAGACGTAGTCCTGGCCTTAAGGACATCAAGTTTAGAAAAAGGTGGAGTTCAGGTTGTTTCCTCTTCTCCAAATTGTATTCCCATTCACCTGTTGATGGATTGATACGTAGTAGGTACGTCCATCCATTAAAAAAGTAAAAGGCTTCTTATTCATTGAACCACATTACCTATAGAGTTCATTTCCTACAGACAACCCTGTGAGAGCTTATTCCTAGAAGGCATGTTGTGAGAACACTTTTTCAATTGTACATACAGGTCAGTCCAGTCCACAAAGCTTGATAGCTATATCATGACCTCATACTGATTTCTTATTAGGAGATGTGTATTTATGGAACTTCTGCTGGGCTCTGAGAACCATGCGCCCTTAGAAGAAAAGTGGTTCTATAAATCTAACATATAATAATTGTAATTAAGATTCAAAACTAAATTAGGTAGTACCAAGATGTAGATGGAGCAGGGAAAGAAGAATAATTGCTGATGACATATTTCGGAGGTAAAGAGCCACCTGTCTCCCTTGCTTCCAAAGTCTCTTGAGAAGGAAAGTGTTTCACAGATCTGATCTCATTGTATTTCATTACTTAAAATTGCAAATACACGCACTGCCTCTTAAGAAAATTAACCAAGCAATTAATCACCAACCGATCATTAAAGAAGTTTATATAGCATCTGCTTCAGTGCCTAGTACAGTGCCTGGCACAGAATAGGTGCTCCATAGGTGCCAGCAGATTCAGCAGCTCTACAAATATTCTTATGTGTTCTGTTTATTGCAATAATTTTCTGTTTTGCTATTTGCCACGGTGGGAGCTTCAACCTTGTGAAATAGTAACAGTAATTGTTAGGCAATTCAGAGATGAGGAGATGTTAAAACTTGTAGCATTAGTAAAAAACTACAAGACACATCTTTACGTTAACTATAAAGTCTGCGTGGTTTATCTGTCAAAAATAGTACCCAAACTGCATAAAAGCAATGAACTAAATTTCCGTCAATGAAACTCAGAGCTGAGTAGACTAGTGGTGTTTTTGTGATTATCGCATTCTTATGCTGCTGTTTCTTGAATTTGAGATTTGCCTTTGGGACATTTTTACTTAGTAGCAAAGCCACATGTTGCTTAGAGGGCATGGGCACATGTCTGGGCATAAACCTGGTTGTTCCCTGGGGGCTGACAGCCTTACCAGACCAGAACCCTGGGCCTGAAGGGTACATTAGGCGTCCCTAGAATAACTTTGGGCATACAGAGTGAGAAGAGCCCAGTTCGGCCCACAGTCATAGCAGGTGGGGTGGGAGGAGAAGATTGTCAATAACAGACTGGGCCTGGCCCTGGAAAACACTGTGAGGGGTTGATCAACTCTGACTTCCCACAGAAAGGTTAGAGATTGTAGGTATGAACAAAACTTGGCCTTAGTATCTAGAATTCTTCATGGGGCTGAACTACTACACTTTGTGTGTGGTGTGGAGAAGGCACTAATTTTGCTAATATTAATAATGAACATAACAGTAACGAAATTTAATTAAAATTATAAGTAAAACTAATTGTTGACTATTCAGTGTATTATTCAGGTTGCTTTGCATGAATCATGGGTAACTCTTTAATTCTTACAACAATTCTGTGAGGTTGTGATTATTATTATTACCCTATTAAATGTAATGTTTTCATCAAAATAATTTATATACATAATTTCAAATATTTAAATATACTACAAGACTTCTAATGAGAGGTGTAGTCCCTTCCTCACTCTCTCTTCACCCCCAAATCTCACTCAGCAGACAACCACTTTTAATTCTTTTAGCTGTTTTTCCACTATTTATCATTTATTTGTGGGGGTGCCTCTGGGCCTGTGTCACCACCTAAATAAGAAAACCTAACAAGGGATATGAGACTTAGTTCTCAGTGTGTATTGATTGTGTTATGAAAATGAATCAGCTGCCTCACAAATACACACTGAAAGTGGGGTCTCATGGCCATTTCCCACATTTTCAGTGTTTGTGTATATTGCATACACCTGGGCTCAATAGCATTGTCTCTGGTCAGGGCTGTGGACATCAGAACGACACCTGGGACGTGGCATAGGGGATGCAGGTCGTCCTCGGGACATGCCTAGGGGAGACGAGCCTCGGTAGAATTGCCTGTGCCGTTTCCAGTAAAGGAGCTCCAGACCGTGCTTGACTCCCACTTATCACAAGGTGAAGACACATGGGAGGAAAGGTTTTAGGGACAGAGAAGCTTCTGGCCACGGGACACTTCTAACCTCTAGAGAACCCCTAAGGAGCTTTGTCATTTATAGGTATAATATTCAGATGTTGTCTGGTCTCTGCCTTTGCCACTCATGACTTCCAGGTGACACTGAGCTTTCCTCTATTTCCCATGCCTTCTCCAGGTGGGAGCTCTAGGTAAGAGCACAGGGAATACTTGTCCATTAATCTGCCAGATTCCCTTCCATTTTCTCACTCATTCATTCAACAAATATTTAGTGAGCACCTACTCTACGCAAGGCACTCCTCTGGGCACTGAGGATGCAACAAAAGACAGACCACGGCCCCCACCCTCATAAAGTGCACTTTCTAGTGGAGGGAACCCTCTGGGGGGTGCGGAGGAGGGCTCTATTTCTCTGTTGTGGACTTTACTTTTCTCAGTTGGATCTCAAACATATGGCAGAAATCAAGTCAGACAATCATAGACTTCATAGAAAACTTATTGCTAAAAACCAGGCAGAAATCCCTTTTGAAAAAATCAGACTCAGAAATCTTGAAGCTTGAAGTCCATGTGTTTTCCTTACCAAACCTAGGTTAGCCCAATTTCAAACAGCTGACTTCTTTCTATAGCCCAGTGGAGGTGAATCGGCATATCCTCTGCCTTTCTCTGAGTTCTGAGGCTGCAGTTACAAGATGCCCCACATTAAGATCAGTGGTTTTCAAACATGTTTGTTCATGGCTTACAGTCAGAAATACATTTTACATTGTGATCCAGTAACCATTTATATACATGGAAGGTTATATATACCAGAAAAACATTATATTACATTGTATTATATTACATTACATTATATATGTGAAATGAAAGTTTCACTTATCAATACTTATCCTTACTACACATAATATAATTCACAGTATTTGCTATTATATTTTATTTTGATTTTTAACAATGCTGGTCATGACCTCTTAAATTGATTTCATGGCTTGTAATAATCTATAGCCTGCAGTTTTTTAAAAATAGAGGTAAATAACTAAAAATCTAGTCCCCAAAAATCTAGTGTTAAATAACCACATGTTTGGGAATATGCAGAAAGCTTTTGGCTTTGGCTTTTTCAAATACTCCTGAAAAATATTACCAGCTTCAATCTTGAGATAAGACATATTAAAATTCCAGGGTTTTGTATAAGCAGGCTGCACTCACACCTCCCAGCATGCTCTACAGAGGGATCCTAAAGCACTACAACTAAGCACAATTTGTGTGAGTGTGTGTGTTTATTATACTTCAGATGAAGGTTTACAGAGCAAATTAGTTTATCATTAAACAATTAATACACATATTGTTTTGTGACATTGGTTGCCAACTCCATGACACGTCAACACTCTTCCCTTCTCAACCTTATGTTCCCGGTTACCAGCTTTCCTGTCCCCTTCTGCCTTCTCGCGCTTGCCCCTGGGCTAGTGTGCCCATTTAGTCTCATTTTGTTTTATGGGCCTGTCTAATCTTTGGCTGAAGGGTGAACCTCAGTAGTGACTTCAGTGCTGAGTTAAAAGGATGTTCGGGGGCCATACTCTCGGGATTTCTCTAGTCTCTGTCAGACCAGTAAGTCTGGTCTGTTTTGTGAGTCAGAATTTTGTTCTACATTTTTCTCCAGCTCTGTCCTGGAAGTAAGCATAATTTTGATCTTGAACGTAACACCCAAGCCACACTGATCATTAGGTGAACATGCAGCATCCTGCTAAGATGTTATTTACCATTCACCAGCTCGAGGTGATTAGGCAGCTAACAGGCTATCCCTGAACAGCAATGACTAGTCACTCCATCTCTTATGCTTTTGAATGCTTCATTGTTTGGTCACCATCCTCACTAGCGCAGACAAACCAGTGTTCAATCATCACCTGCGCAGCTGTGACCAAGCTCCGGTTGGTGTTGATCTATTGGGAAGACAGATTTAGGATTTAGGATAGATCCAATCTTCCAGTATTCCACTGTGCCCTAGAACAGTGTTTTACATTTTTCTTATTGCTTGAAGTATTCAGTATAATTATTCACATTTTTTGAGCACATACTACTGCACTCTTAACCACAGCCGAGTCCTCTGGAATCTTTTACATTTAATTTTATGTGCTAATGGCAGGAGGAGACCCAAATGAATTTATAAAGTGCATGCTGACACTTTCCCTTTTACACACAGCTACTTCCAACCAGACCTAGATTAATAATCGGAGAAGATTTTGGCTCCCCTTAGCTTACCCTCACTCCTTTTTGTCTTTTTCTTTTTAAAATGTTCACCTTTTCAAAAAAATTGTGGTAAAATGTATATAACAAAACATTTGCCAATTCAACAATTTTCACATGTATAATTCAGTGACATTGATTACATTCAATAATGTTGTACAACCATCACTACTATCCTTTTCCAAATTATTTCACCACCGTTAACAGAAACTCAGTGTCCCCTAAGCAATGCCTCCCCCTTTCTTGGTAACCACGAATCAGCTTTGGTCTCTGTGTATCTGTCTATTTCCTATAAGTGAGATCATGAAGTATTTGTCCCTTTGGGACTGATTTATTTCACTCAGTACAAGGTTTTCAAGGTTCCTCCATGTTGAAGCATGCATCAGGACTTCGTTTGTCTTTATGACAGAGTAATAGTCCATTGTATTGTGTACCATATTTTGTTTATCCATTCATCTGTTGATGGACATTTAGGTTGTTTCTACCTTTGGGCTGTTGTGAATAGTGCTGCAATGAACCCTAGTTACCCCACCCTCACTCCCTTTGATGGGCCAGAGGCTGGAGGGACAGGAGTAGTTTGTTGGCAACTTTCCCTTCTTTACCTGTCATAGGAAAGTGTCTCTTGGAGAAACTTGTGAGCTGTGGAGACAGTGCTGGAGCTGGAGCTGGCTCCTAATGGCCGGGAGGCCCCGAGTATTTAATTTTCAGGGATTTTTGCAAGATGGTTGTTAAATCTTAGGTGGCTTGAAGTTGGCCGTGGTGGGAATACTTACACCATGAAACTGGCAAATGCAACAGATCAGGGTCTCCTGACCCCACCCCCGCTCCATAGGGAAGCTGAATCTGTGGGGGCTGTGAGCACATGAGTGGAACCCTGGGTGCGTTCTGAAATCAGATGGCTAGGGGTGCAGGGGCAAGCTGGGGTTTGCAAAGCTGATCGCCCCTCTTCTACCTGGCCCCAGTGGGAACTGACCAACATTTGTCTGCCTGCCTCCTCCCAGACCAGAAAAGAAGTCAGAGCAGCCCATGTGTGAGGAGCACGAGGAGGAGCGCATCAACATCTACTGCCTGAACTGCGAGGTGCCCACCTGCTCCCTGTGTAAGGTCTTTGGGGCACACAAAGATTGCCAGGTGGCTCCCCTCACTCACGTCTTCCAGAGGCAGAAGGTAACAGAACCACCGCCGGCCCCTCCTCCACAGCCCCTGCTGAGTGTCTGTTGATTGGCTCCCTAATGTGGAAGGAGAAGCACAAGCAATGTCCGGTCACAGGGCCGTGAGGGCCCAGCTGGGAGGGATGCTGCATGGTTGGTGCCCGCCTGGCCACAGGCTAGGTTCCCTGGAGGGTGGTAGGGAAGGATACGGGGGAGGTGCAGGAAGGGGGCCAGAGGTGACACGTCACTGTTTTTGTACCTTTTGAACTTGCTGAAAACCATCAGTGTTAACGGACCCGGCCCAGCTCAAGCTGCTCAAGCATTATTCAAAGTTCAGACTATAGATAAGAGAATAACTTTTTACTTTCGTCAAGAATTATTTTTCTTCATTCACCAATGAAAAGTTCCCATTGTCCCTCTCACGTTCTTTTCTCTCCAAATCCTAGTGGGTGAAAGTTACAGTGAATGAATGGCACTTAGTTAGGGAACAACTCTAAAAGATTTGCCTTGTGCCACCCCTCCTGTCACCTGTGCCCACTGCTGAAAGGTCTTCCCTGAATGTGGCCCATATCTCTCATCCCACAGCCCCGGCCCCAGCCACCTCAATCAGGCCAAACACAGCATCTCCCCCAGCTGATCACTACTCTGCCAACCTGGGTTCATGCATGAGCAAGTAGAAACTTAACCATCTGATGCAAATCAAAGTGAGGATAGATGTTGTTGTTGTTGTTAGGTGCTGTCAGGTTGGTTCCAACTCATAGCAACCCTGTGTACAACAACACTGCCCTGTCCTACATCATCCTCACATTACTATGTTTGAGCCCATTGTTGCAGCCACTGTGTCAGTCCATCTCATTGAGCGTCTTCCTCTTATTCACTGACCCTCTACTTTACCAAGCGTGATGTCCTTTTCCGGGGACTGATCCCTCCTGATAACGTCCAAAGTACGTAAGATGAAGTCTTGCCATCCTCGCTTCTAAGGAGCATGCTCGCTGTACTTCGTCCAAGACAGATTTGTTTGTTCTTCTGGCCAGTCAATAGACTATTCAATATTCTTCACCAACACCATAATTCAAAGGTGTCAGTTCTTCTTCGGTCTTCCTCATTCATTGTCCAGTCAAAAGATGTAGCCATTCTAAAACCAGTTGCCATGGAATCGGTTCCAGCTCATGGTGAGCTTATGTATGTTAGAGTAGAACTGCTCCATAGGGTTTTCTTGGCTGTGATTTTTACAGATACAGGCCTTTCTTCTGTGGCGCTGCTGGATGAGTTAGAACTGCCAAACTTTAGGTTAGTAAATGAGCACAGACCATTGGCATCGCCCAGAGACCATGTAGCCACTCTAGGCACTGAGATTTTGAGCTGCTCCATATCTCAGCTTCTTTCACTTAGAATCATAGATTCCACATTTGGTAAGTGTTTTATTGAGAGGATTAAAATTGAAATAAAATTGGAAACCAACTCTTGAGCAACACCAGTTACAACCAGTAACTACTAACTGCTAAAAAAAAAAGAAGGATTTAACAAGATATCTATAACATTTATTTACTTTTCAATCCACTTATGATTTATTCTCTCCCCCTTTCCCCTCCAAAGAATAACATGTTAGAAATGAATGGTGCTTGCTTTCAGGCTACAGGTAGTCCCCAGTTTACGATGGGGTTCCATTCCTAAGTTGGTTCTGACGTAAGTCAGATACCTCATTTTTTTTTAAGTTTTTTTTTATTATTGCCTTTTATTATCAGTATCTTTATAGTAAATTGTAAAATTGAACATCTGCAAGTGAACATCTGAGAATGATAAAATCAGCAAATTATGTGCTGCAACATTGTATGTAGTACATATTACTAACGATAAGGACAGTTGTAAGCGTGTTCGTTGTTAACTCGAATACGTCTAAGTCAGGAACTACCTGAACTTCCCTTAGAGCTCTGGAGACTCATGGATGTGACTCGGGACTGCTGGGGTTAGAGGTTGTGGGGAGAAAGAGAAGGACAAACTGGTAGGACTCCCACTCCGGCTCCTGTTCAGCCAAAACAGCTTCACTTTTACCTACTGGGATTTGATGTTAGTTTCCATTTGGAGAATGGGTTCTGCAGCTTTAAAATGTTTTATGAGCACTGATATAGTCCAGTCTTCTCATTTTAAATGTGAGAAAATTAGGGTCCAAATTGATCACGTCTTGCCCAACATCATAGAGAAATTAAGGGCATTATTGTACTAAGCATGTGGGTCTGCTAAATCCCCATTCAGTGCTCTCTGTCCTCCATGGGCAGCCTTGGAAATAGGTAAGTACAAACAATGAACTCTCTTCTCAGGTCAAAAATTGAAAGGAATTTCAAATTTGAAATTTCTCCCATAGAACTCTAAAGGTTGACAGTTTGAACTTACCCAGGGATACCTCGGAAGAAAAGCCTGGTGATCTGCTTCCTTTAAGATTAGAACCAAGAAAACTCCGTGGAGCCCAGTTCTACTCTGTAGCACACGGGACTACCATAAGTTAGAGTCAACTCAATGGCAAGGAGCTTTAATGACTTAGTCTAGTTGTGCGATTGCATACACACACTATATCCTTAGCCCGTAACATACGTTTAAATATGGTCATTGTTAGGTGCCATCAAGTCGGTTCTGACTCACAGCGACCCTGTGTACAACGGATTGGAACACCACCTGGTCCTGCTCCATCCTCACAGTCTTTGCTATGCTTGAGCCCATTGTTTCAGCCACTGTGTCAATCCATCTTCTTGAGGATCTTCCTCTTTTTCGATGACCTTCCACTTTACCAAGCATGATGTCCTTCTCCAGAGACTGGTCCCACCTAATAACATGTCCCAAGTATGTGAGATGAAGTCTTGCCATCCTTGCTTCCAAGGAGCATTCTGGTTGTACTTCTTCCAAGAGATTTGTTTTGTTCTTCTGGCAGTCCATGGTATATTCAATATTATTCACCAACACCATAATTCAAAGGTGTCAATTCTTCTTCAATTTCTTTATTCATTGTCCAGCTTTCACACTGCATATGAGGCAACCGAAAATATTATGGCTTGAGTTAAGCACACCTTAGCCCTCAAAGTGACATCCTTGCTTTTCAACACTTTAAAGAGGTCTTTTGAAGCAGATTTACCCAACACAGTATGTCCTCTGATTTCTTGACAGCTGCTTCCGTGCTGTGGATTGTCGATTCAAGTAAAATGAAATCCTTAACAACTTCAGTCTTTTCTCTGTTTATCATGATGTTGCTTATTGGTCCAGTTGTGAGGATTTTTGTTTTCTTTATATTGAGATGCAATCCATACTGAAGGCTGTAGTTTTTGATCTTCATCAGTAAGTGCTTCAAGTCCTCCTCACTTTCAGCAAGCAAGGTTGTGTCATCTGCATATTGCAGGTTGTTAATGAGTCTTCCTCCAATGCTGATACTGCATTCTTCTTCATATAGTCCAGCTTCTTGGATTATTTGCTCAGCATACAGATGAATAAGTATGCTGAAAGGGTACAACCCTGACACACCTTTCCTGATTTTAAACCACTCATTTTTCCCTTTTTCTGTTCAAATGACTGCCTCTTGATCTATGTACAGGTTCCTCATGAACACAGTTAAGTGTTCTGGAATTCCCATTCTTCACAATCTTATCCGTAATTTATTATGATTCACACAGTGGAATGCTTTTGCATAGTCAATAAAACACAGGCAAACATCTTTCTGGTATTCTCTGCTTTTAGCCAAGATTCATCTGACATCAGCAATGATATCCCTCATTCCACATCCTCTTCTGAATCTAGCTTGAACTTCTGGCAGTTCCCTGTCAATGTACTGCTGCAACCACTTTTGAATGGTCTTCAGCAAAATTTTACTTGTGTATGATATTAATGATATTGTTCGATAATTTTTACATTCTGTTGGATTACCTTTCTTTGGAATGGGCACAAATATGGATCCCTTCCAGTCAGTTGGCCAGGAAGCTGTCTTCCAAATTTCTTGACATAGAAGAGTGAGCACCTCCAGTGCTGCATGCATTTGTTGAAACATCTCAGCTGATATGTATAGTATAGTATATGTTGAATAAGTCAACAAATGAATGTTTACTATATACATTTCCAAAATAAAATGGTTCCTGAGCTGTACTAGGCAAATAACTACTTTTGGGTCTCTGAAGTCACATATTGGACTCCATTCAGTTTATCAAGAATATTCAGAGTTCTTTAGGAGTCCCTGGGTGGTGCCAAAGGAGCCCTGGTGGCACAGTTATTAGAACACTTGGCTGCTAACAGTAAGGCAAGTGGTTTGAATCCACCATGGGAGAAAGATGTGGCAGTCTGCTTCCTTAAAGATTTATGGCCTTGGAAACCCTATGGGGCAGTGCAAATGGTTAACATGTTGCTAACCAAAAGATTGGAAGTTCAAGTCTACCCAGAGGCACCTTGGAAGAAAGGCCTGGCAAAAACTACTCCCAAAAACTCAGCCATTGAAAACCCTATGGAGCACAATTCTCTGACACACATGGGATCACCATGAGTCTGGTTACTGGTTACTGGTTATTTGCAGTTCTTTACCGTGAATATCCCATTCTGTATCTATGGCCTGTAATTCAGTATTCTTAACATCTTTAGCAGGATCACAGTATCCATTGAGAATTTGATGAAAACTAGGAAACCTCTTCCCATAAAATGTATTTATGCACATACATATAAAATTCTGCAGATGATATCAGGAGGCCCACAGGCCTCCCAGTCCTCCCAATTACTCTTAGGAGTTTGCAGGGCCCTAGATTAAGAATTCATGAGGACCGTGCAGCTATGAATGCACGATCTAACCCCTTTTTTCTCTTTATCAGTCTGAACTCAGTGATGGCATTGCTGTCCTTGTGGGAAGCAACGATCGAGTCCAGGGAGTGATCAGCCAGCTGGAAGACACTTGTAAAACGATTGAGGTAAGTCAGGCCACTCCAAGGGAATCTAAACCTAAACCAGGCCTGCTGCTCCTGGGGATTTGTGGCTTCCTCAGGGCCACACTAGAAATTCCCCACCCACCCCAGTTCCAACATTTTATTCTTTCTTCGTTTCTGAAATATTCACCCCCTAAGTGGTGCAGTGGTTAAGAGATTGGCTGCTAACCAAAAAGGTCGGCAGTTCAAATCCACCAGCCACTTCTTGGAAACCCTATGGGGCAGTTCTGCTGTGTCCTGTAAAGTCACTATGAGTCAGAATTGACTCGAAGGCAATGGGTTTGGTTTTTTTGGGTTTAGCACAGAAAGGATCCCTGGTGGTGCAGTGGTTAAAGCGCTCAGCTGCTAACGGAAAGGTCAGCAGTTGGAACCCACCAGCCACTTTGCGAGAGAAAGACGTCTCCTTCCGTAGAGATTTACAGCCTTGGAAACCCTGTGGGGTCACTAGGAGTAGGAACGGACTCGTCAGGCAGTGGGTTTGGTTTTGGTTTAGCACAGAAAGGGAAGTTACCACATGAGCTAACCAGGCAGATTTTGCTACATTTAGTAGGGTTGTAGTGACATGTGTTGTTCTTCCTTGGTCAACCCACTTTGAAAGATGAGCTACAAGAAAAATATATTTCAAGTAATGAAAATGAATGTTGTTCACTCTTATAGCAAAAGTTCTTTGTGCTTAAGAAAAAATTTTCAGTGCTTAAGAAGGTCATTGCTGGTAAGGAAGTAGGTTTGAGTTTCATGTCTGCAATCTAACAGTGGGCTGCATGGGGCCAGCAGGAGGGGCCTTTGGGGCTGACTGTGGTTAGAGAATGGTTCAATGGCTGGGAGCTCCTTGAGACCAGAGTTCAGGCTCATTGGTCTCTGTCTCCCTTCTGCCTGTTCCAGTGCCTGGCACATAATAAGCACTCAGCAAGAACTTGTTGAATGAGTAGGTGAATGGCTGACTGGTGAGTTCACACTTAGTCTTGGCATACAAGAAATATTACTAATGCTCTTTTTCTCAAGATTACATTTAAACTGTGTAATTGCTAAAGGCAAATGCTGACGCCTAAACAGGTTTAGCTATGTAGCAGATGTCTTTTCAAGAACTGAAGATTCACAGTCTAGCTATATGCATGCTACAGACTGGGCAGGTGCCAGGGTACCTGGGCTCAAGTTCGGGTCTCTGGCTCTGAAACCGGCAGCAATTTATTAACAACTGCCTGCTTTAAAATTCTACCTGAGTGGTACAAACACTTAACACACTCAGCTGCTAACCAAAACGTTGGAGATTTAAGTCCACCAGCAGCACCTTGGAAGAAAGACCTGGTGATCTACCTCCAAAAAATCAGCCGTAGAAAACCCAATGGAGTACAGTTCTACTCTGACACACAAGTCGTCGCCATGAGTCAGAGTCAACTCAATGACAACTGGTTTTTGGCTCTAAGCTTTGGGGCTATTTTTTAACTTGGACCTTGGGTGCAGAGGGTTGAGGTATCCTATGGCTCAGTTCATGGCACGTTGTCTCGTTGCTATGTGCAAGGCCCCTCTCTGGTTATCTATCCTTTTATCCCGTTTTCCACTTCTGTTCTCCTCCGCATCGATAACCATTCTAACATGTTTGATGTTTTGTTTTTCTGGATTCTTATAAAATGTGTATTGTTTTATACGCAGGTGTTTTAATTTTGTAAATGGTGTTGTGTTGTATTTTTATTCTGTTTCTTTTTTAAACTAAGCGTTATGTTTTTAATATCCATTCATATATTGTTACATGTACATCAAATCCTGTTTTCTCCTCTGTAAAAATGGGGTAATTATTAAGCAGTTACCATTGAGTTGATTCCAACTTATGGTGACACCATGTGTGTCAGAGTAGAACTGTGCTCCATAGGTGTTTCAATGACTTGTTTGGTACTAGATCGCCAGGTCTTTCTTCTGAGGCGCCTGTGGTTAACACCCAAGTGTATTAACCATTTGCACCACCCAGAAGCTCCTAGGGGTAATCATAGTACTTGCTTCATAGAGTTCCTGTGAGGAATTAAATAAATAAACGTATTCAAAATGCTTAGCCCAGTGCCTGGCATGTGGTGAGTGCCCAATAAATGCTAAATGTTCTTATTATTTTATTAGAGAGGCAAATTCTACTAACGGTCAAGGGCCAGTTTCTAGATAGTGGCTTCCAGACATTAGCCATCATTAGGTGGTTTTAGATTTACACACTGTTAAAATCCATCTCCTTTCTTCTCCATACTCTCATTCCTGGAAAGACTCATGCCAAATCTGGGATCCATTTACAGAAGGAATGTTTTTGCTTGGTGAAGAGCCCAAGGAGATTATGAAACGAATAATATAAACTTTTTTTCTCTTTATTTATTCACTGTAAAGGCCAAAAACTCATTAAGCCGTGAGTCAGCACTTCAGCCGTATCACTGCATATAAATAGGAGTGTGTTGCTTGTGGATGAGTGAAGGTCATCTCTAGCCTCATCTCTGGTGGGGCCTTCACTGCAGACTTTTGTCAGTGGAATAGAGGACTTTCTGCATGGGACGGAAAAGGTGGAGACTGCATACAGAGAAGATCCCTGTGGTTCGTGCTTGGGCCTTGAGGAGCAAATGCTAGACTCAGGCTCCATTTAGGGAACATCAAAGGAGACAGAGGGCTAGGGGAGATTTAACGACAGGTTTTCTGAATGGAGGCCAGTCACAAGTGCAATAGGAAGCAGCTGTTATTTTTTTTCATCAAGAACAAGACAAGAAGGAACAGGTTTGAGCTTAACTGAGCAGAAGGGATTTAGTGCAACTGTAAGAAAGAACGTCCAGGCAGTGAAGGTCAGGATTATGTTACCCTTGTTATTACTGATGGTAGTGTTCATTGAGCAGGATACACTGTTTTAAGTATTTCCACAAGTTACTAGTGGAGAGTGTGGAAGTGCTTCCTTAGGGCTTTAAGAAGAGTCTGCAAATTGGTAGAGGGTCTTCAAAGTGTCCAACCCCTTTGACCTGTTTATTTCACTTCTGAGATTCTACATTAAGGACATAATCTAATATACAGACAGTGCTTTACATCTAAAGCTTATCAACACACACTGTTCAAAACTAAACATTGGACATGATTTAAAGTAATGAAGTAGACCTGTTGCCATGGAGTCGATTCTAACTCACAGTGATCCTATAGCGATCCTATAGGACAGAGTAGAACTGCACCATAGGGTTTCCACGGAGCGGTTGGTAGATTGGAACTGTTGAACTTTAGGTTAGCAGCCAAGCTCTTAACCATTGCGTTACCAGGCCTCCAATGAAATAGAGGAATGGTTAAATAAATTATAGTATATCCATTGATGGAATGGAGTGCAATTATTTAAAAAATAATTTTTTAAGAATTTTTAAAGTTTGTAAAGAATTTTAAAGATATAGAAAATGTTCCTTGTATAAAGTTACATGAGTAAAGGCAGTATATAAGGCAGTACAGAATGCATATAAATTTATATATCCCCCAGTATACATTCATAGGGGGAAAAAACCCAGGGAGGAAAAACACCAAAAGTTAAGAGCAGAGAGGGATTGCAAGCGATTTTCAATTCTTTCCTCATATGTTCCTGAATTGTATTTCACATTCTTCTAAAGTCAGCATGACATTTTTGATAACCAGTAAAATAAATAAATGAAGAATGAATGAATGAAAATGAAGAATGAATGAATGGATGGATATGGCTCAGGTAGGCACCATTCTGTTCAGAACAGTTTAGGTGGCTCATCTGGAGATTTGAGGATGTGCTCAGAGCCACACAGAGGTCCCTGATTTTATGATTCTTGCTCAGTACAACATCCTACACTCAAAGCCACCTTGAAGACAGGGACACTGCCACAAATGACCACGTTGTACATCTATAATCACTAAGATAATGTCTTGTAGCGCAGGGGCACATCAGAGGGGCAGAACAGCAGAGGCCCAGCTTCTGGCCAGCCGAGCAAGGATCTCTTCAGCCTGCAAGACAGGATATAGTGCAGCGAAACAGGCCCCTGGCTGGGGACATGGCCCTACGGGCAGAATGGTGAATTCTGTTCCAGAGTCAGGTCTCAGAGCTCCTGTGTCTCGTGTCCTGCCTGGGGTTGTTGTGTCCCTTTCTGGCTTTGTCACCACCTGCCAGGAAACATTTTCTGAGAAGCCATAGTGCCTCCGGGCCAGGGTGTAAGGAGCTCTTGTTAAAGGATTCTCTTTTCTGATTGGTAAAGAACCCCCTAGGGATGGGAAATGGAGTAGCACCTGGAGTGGACACTATCCTTCCCTAATTACTTTGCCTCTCCTGTTTGGGGGCCTGACTTCTGCCCTTTGGTAGTGGTGCCAGTTCCTGGCGCATGTCTGATTTTGTCTATAATCATGTAATGTCTTGCAGTGCTGGCCTGGGGAAGCTAGGGCAAACCACTGTGGACTCCTCGCTAGCCTTTAAAATTAATATATGCAGTTGACATGAGGAGTGAGTTTATGCTTAGGGCAACCTTGAGAGAGATCATAGCCACAAAAAGGCAGCAGCATCCAAAGAGAGAGGGCCATTTCACCTCTTTATTTGGGCTGATAGTGGGTCTTTGTAGTCCTCCTAGTTGTGAGCTCTCAGCCTGGGGCGTTCCCTGAGCTCTGGATTACAGGCTGTTGGCTCTGTGGAGGGCCTTCTAGGTTGTTCTAGACCAGTGCTGCATGACATGGAGCTGCACCTGCCTTTCCAGGCCTGGAGATGTTCTAGGAGGCACCAGGTCTGAGTAGGGAGGCTGCCGGTGTTACTGCAATGGTGGGTCTGAGCCACCTGCCGCAGAAGCCAGTACTGAGACAGGGGTGAGGTGAGCAGCAGGAGCGTTTTATTGTATATCAGTAAATACAGGAGACAGAGAGGAATGAGCTCCTCCAAAAGATCTGTCTCCCCGACTGGAGACTGGCTGAAAGTTTTTATATGGACAGGATTATAGTTTCTCTTCCGGTGGTTACATTCTGTACTCCCCAGATGATCTAACTTCTTA